ATTGTTGTGAACAAAACTAGGCACAATCCTTACCCTTGCCTTCAACAGAACTTAACATTTGCTTAAAAACATCATTAAAATGTTCATATGAATAAATAAATATATAAGTGAGTAAGTAAATAACTATAAGCTCAGAAAAGGGCAATGAAATAAAGCTATGTGGTATTGTAAAATCATATAATGAAGGGACCTAATTTATCCAGGGTGAGGGGGCTGGGAAATGCCCAGGCAGGGCAGGATGAGATCTGAGCAAGAAGCAGGACACAACTCGGTGAGAGGTGGAGGGGTGCGGCAGCAGGAGCGCACAAGCCTGGTGGTAAGCGGGGAGTGTGGCGCAGTTGAGAAATGCACCTAAGATGACCAGCAGGGCTGAACAGCAGAGTAGGGGAGAGTGAGAAGAGCTCGAAAAGGGTAGCATTGTACACACTAACTACAGTCTTGTAGGCCATGTTAAGGAGTGTGGCTTTTATCCTAATAACGATGGAAACCTTTAAAGGAACCTAATAGTTTCTAAGGTTTCTGTGGATTCTAAATCCTGTATTTTTCTTTGATTTAATTTGAAATAAGAGAATGGTAGAGCAGCAAAGTGACCTTCAAAGAGCAGTGAAACTGCTGGCATTTGAGTAGCATAATTATAGAGACTCTTAGAAAATCAGCATGCACAATCATCTTCCCCTCAGGTGCCATTGAACATGTCAGGATAGTGCAGTCATTATGGTCCTGGGATTATCTTTCTCAGACTTGGGCTGCCTTTGGGCATTGCTCCATAGGCTCTTCCCTGGACCCCTGAGTTTCATGAGCTTATGCAGCATGGAAATATGGACAGTGAATACCTGTGTAGTTACACTAAAATAATTGATATGGCAGTTGTGGATGTCAAGCTGCAAAAGCATATCTGATTATATTAAGAAGGTAGGTAGATAATTTCCGTGAATTAATAAACAGACTGTGGGTATTCCTGTCAGGCTTTCTATGCTCTGGGATGAAGGAACTGAAATCCTGGAAGAGCCAGCTGGTCTGAACATGAGGGGAGCCCACTGTCATCTTGGTACACCCTGGACCCTCACGAGAAGCTAACGTGTGGCAGACAGAGCTGTGAGGACAGGAGAGAGGTCAGGGTCAGGAGCCGTGATTTAACCCAGGATTCAGCCATTTTAGATGCCACTAACTTGGGACTGTGCCATTTTATGACTTAGTTCCTTCCCATTTTGCTAGTCGTGGTTGGATTTTCTTTCACTTAGAACCAGGGAATTGTGACCAATCTATTTCTTTATCATTGAAGGGTGACTTGGACACATCTCTTCTTTGTGTTGTAAAAGATTCTGGTTATTGCCCATACTAAACCACCCAGCCACTGGTGGGGGTGGGGAGGTGAGTGGGGAGATGAAGGGGCATCACCCATCCCATTCATTATCCCCACCACATGTCATGATGAGACATGAATGGAGCACTGCATTGAATACCACTACCACCTCTTATTAATGACATGACCTTGGGCTAGTCACTGTGTTTGCCTCAGCTTCTCTATTGGAACCCCTCAGTAGGTTATTGAGAAGTTCCCCTGAGACAAGGACCATGAATGTGCTTTGCCCACTGTGCTAGAAATAGATATCTGACTGGGCTATATTTCAGTCTGTTCCCCCGCCTCTCAGCTGAGACCCTGACAATGGGGAAGACACCATCTTTCACCACAGTGGTTGGCAGGCTCTGGATTTTAGAACCAACCAGGGACAGAGCCTCCAGGAGAAGTCAGAAACTAAGTACTAGGATACAGCACCCTAGCTGTCTGTTGAGGTTATTTATTGCTGAGCAACAAACTACCCCGAAACTGAGTAGCACAGAGTAAGAACCATTTTACTGGGTTGGCCAAAAAATTCCTACGTTTTTTCTGCAGTGGCAGTCATTTGGGATAATGAGGACCCATCCTGTTGGAGAAAGCCAATTGAACAAAGGAAAGAACCTGTGTTCTTGGAGAACTAGCTGAGTCAATAAGTTAATCATCCCTGAAACCTTTTCATTTCTAGATTTCTTGTTACATGAGAGACTAAATATCTTTATAATTGAAATAATTTATTCAGTAAGCATTTATGGAATAACTAGGCATTTTTCTAGGTACTCAGGTAGAAAGGAAAGGGATAGCCTTTTTAATAAGAAATAGGTGAGGGGAATGAGCTTAGATGAACTGAGAATTCTTCACATTTTTGTCCTTTTTCTTTCCATCTTCCTATTTTTTTCCCAAAACTATTATATGTCTACTACTATGTGACCATAAAAAGATGCAGATTCTTTTATGGGGGGATGGCTCTGTCTTGCTCAACATCCAGAGATCTCTTTCTCATCTTTCTTTTGGGACTTTAGAATCTCCTCCATGGTGAAGCCCTTGGGAAAGAGTCAGATCTCTCCTAGACTATGCAGCAAGCATGTAGTACAAAAGACTGCACAACAAATAGGATAGTATTTTGCATACCAGACTGTTTGGAGGGGTTTGAGAGCTCTTGGATTTGGAACCAAGTGAAAAAAAAGACAAACAGGACTAAAACATTACCATTATTACTAATAAAACCTAGACTAGGGAATGTAGCTTAGGTATGAGAGCCAAATGGGCTTCCTAATCTGGATCCTCTATTTGGGCTGACTTGTCCTGTTATGTAAGTCCAGACAGGGGCAGGTTTCACTGCACCAGGGAGGAGAGTCTTCCCCTGGAGGAGCAGCCCAGAATGCCAGTCCTCTCCAGCAGCTACCTCCCATCAGGAAGAGCTGAGAGGCTGAGATGAACATACACATTACTTCCAAATTTACAGTCAGATAAGTCCTGCCATTTCCTCTTTTACTAAGTGAGGAAAGGGGAAGAGGGGGGTCCAAAGTGTTACTAATTAAGCTCCATGCACATCAAAAGAAACATCACGAGTGGGGAAGATGCTCCACACTTTTCCCTCCCCTTCTGCTGTGGATTATAACTCTTCCCTTTTCCATTTTAGCCACTACCTGTGCTATCTAATATAGTCTCTACTGACCACATATGAGTATTTCAATGAAAATCAATGAAATATATTTAAATTAAATAGGTTCTATTTAAAATAGGTTCTTTTGCATTGATATTTTGGGGTTCATAGATTATAATCCTAGCAGTGAAATTGCTGGGTCAAAAGGCAGTTCCATTTTTAGTTTGTTTGAGGAAATTCCATACTGTTTTTCACAATGGCTGTTCTAGTCTGCATTAGCACCAACAGTGCACTAGGGTTCCCTTTTCTCTACAACCTCGCCAGCACTTGTTTGTTGATTTGTTTATGATGCTATTCTCACCAGTGTGAAGTGGTATCTCATTGTGGTTTTAGTTTGCATCTCTGATGGCTAGTGATGCTGAGCATACATTCATGTATACAATGGGCCCTCTGTATATCCTCCTTTAAGGAAAGGTCCTTTGCCCATTTTTAATTGGATTGTTTGTCTTCCCAGAGTGGAGTTGTGTGAGTTCTTTATATATTTTGGAGATCAAACCCTTGTCCAATGTATCATTGGCAAATATGTTGGTTCCCTCTTAATTTTGCTGATGTTTTCTTTAGCCATGAAGAAGCTTTTTGTTTTGATGAAGTCCCATTTGTTTATTCTTTCCTCCATGTCCTTGCTCTAGGAGACATATCAGTGAAAATACTGATGCATGGAATATCTGAGATTTTCCTGCCTACATTCTCCTCTAGGACTTTTCTGGTCTTTAGACTTATGTTTAAGTTTTTTACCCATCTTGAGTTTATTTTTGTGTATGGTGTAATTTGGTGGTTGAGTTTCATTTTTTTGCATGTAGCTGTCTAGGTATCCCAGCACCATTTGTTGAAGGGGGTATTTCTACTCCATTTTATGCTTCTTTCCCCTTTGTCAAATATTAATTGACTATAAAGTCATGGGTTTATTTTTGGACTGTTACATAGATCAATGGAACAGTGTGTTAACTTTTTAGATATACAAAGAAATTTATGGCTATTCTCAATGTCAAGTATAACTGAAAAGCAATTTTAATAATAGATAGACCAAAGTGTTCAGAAACATAGTGTTGAAGTGTAAAGACAAATCACAGCCAAGTCACATGCAAAACATGAACTCTCTTTCCTAAAGAGTGTGCAAAGTAATATTTTCTTCCCCCAAATATGGCTCACTTGCTAAGCTGCCAAGAAGGATAGGGCCAGATGGCACACAGTTCTCATTTCCTGGTTATACCTCCTGACCCAGCCATATATTTTTTCCTACTTCTCCTTACAGAAATTACTTTTGTCTGTTTTGGGAATTATCTTAACTCTGGGAATGAACCTAGTGACTGTGTCAGAATCAGAATACTGACACACTGACTGTGACAATGTTCTTTCAGCCTTACTCTGTTCCTAATTTGGTAGTTTATGAGCTCACAGATGCTGGACCAGAATTTAGTCTATAAAATTAAGACATTCTGTTTGATGGAGCCAAATCTAAATTGCTGAAGCAAGGACAGTAAAGCATGAAGCAGTGCCTTAAAAAGTAACTAGGGCCATCAAATTCACACTAAAAGTCAACATCATTTCAAAATGAAGATCTTTAGATGCCATAGTAATTTCTCAGGAAAAAAAGGCAATCATTATGAGAATACTAAAACTAAATGAGAATAACAAATAAAATAATACAGAAGACCAATTTAATTAGCAGCTGTGCTGTTTTATGCTCAGTTGATGGGAGAAAAGAATATTTTCATCAAACTATTAAAATGAATTGATTTAAATATATGAATGTAATCATCCATAACAATGGCATTAACAAAATAGTTTTAAAAATGAGCATGATAGAAATGACTTCCCTGTAATTATTATGTTCATTGACTATTATTTATTTTTAAACCATGATGGATTTTAGGTTTGGGTAAAACTCCAGGGGGATGAATGTGTCCCTCAGGAGCTGGTATTGGGAGAGGTTGAGTTGTTTGGTAAATTACTTTTTTCTTAATGTTTTTTTTTTCTGTTGCTATTTCTGTTTTTCAGACCCACTATGAAAATGGGGAATATATCATCAGGCAAGGTGCAAGAGGAGACACGTTCTTTATAATCAGCAAAGGAAAGGTAAGCTCTGGTAGGACGAGAGAGTGATGTAGGAGGGGAGCCAGGTCCGCAGTGACCCCGGCAGCAGCATGTGTGCCCCATCTTGGACTACACCAGTTTTTCCATTTGCAGAAACTGAAAGAGGAATGTTTAAGCATGAATTTCCCAAAAATAACACAGAAGGAAGAAAAAGTCTAACTTTGAAGCCCAGTAAATAGTCCATGTGCTATAATATAGTCATGATTCTAGATACCACTGACATGTCTGCATTAATGGGAAGACTTCCATAATTAAAATTATATAATTAAAAAGAAAAAGACAATTGTTGCTTAAAAATTCCTTAACAGGGAAAAAATTCTTTCAGTCATTCATAGCAGTGAAAGTGCCATCATGAAACATCTGGACTTTGAGACCTGTTGGCCCAAGTTTGAATCTGGCCATGAAACACACTAGTTTTGTATCCATGGATGATTTGCTAAATACTCTGGGGGCAATAAGGATATGAAAATACCCATGTTTTATTGTATCTTCCTAAATAAATATTGAATAAATACTAAAAGCTAATAAAATGATAAATTATAGAGCAAGGATGAGTATAAGGTATACAAGGGATCTGAACAAAGAGCCATAATTTAGTCTTTACTATATTGTTTTAATTTTTCAATATTATGAATCTATTATAATTTTATTTAAAACTCAATAAGAAATCAAGTGAATTGGAAAGTTGGGGCTTATGTAGATTAATATTCATTATATTGCTATAACTATCTTTTAAAAAATAAATTTAACAGTAAAGTCATAATCATTTTTGTATTTAAGTATCATTGCACTATAAGCTATGATTTGAACTTATTTTGCTTTTTCATAAATGATCCTTAAAAAGAATTTGTATGTGTTAGGTATAGGAAGAGATGGGGAAGGAAATGCAGGTGGAAGGGAATTTATATTTCCACTTTTACAATTGTTACTTAAAAATAAGTGAATCTGTTTCCTCTGATTTAACAAATATGACTGAATCTTGTACTTTGTGGCTCATATTAAAATAAAAAAGAGATTTAAAGAGCTACAGTATGCAGGACATGTGAAACATTATAAATCTTGTTGGATCATATTTTGGAAAATTCTCTTTGGACTAATTTTGAATCAAGAATATGCACATGTCAATGTTTTATACCAGTGGCTTGTTACACTAAAGGAAGAAAATGATGTTTATACTTTTACCATATACCTATTTTTGACTGCTATCAGAAAGCCTGGAATAGAAATAGAAGTCAGGGACCAGCTTCTAAAAAGGCATCCTGAAATGACATATGACCAGTTATAGTTAAAACTCTATCTTGATTTTTCCATTATTACACGATAAGAAATGTTAGCATTTTGTGTTTTATATATAAATTGGTAGAGTCTACCATTTAGTCTTCCATTTCTTAACATTGGCTAAAAAAATCTGGAAAAAATTAAAAATCTTCATGGATATAAATGACTCCACTGGTCACATGGAGGCTTTTTACCTGCATGACCTGGCTGTATTTCTTCTTTATTACATTGCTAATTCTTTGCTCTCAGGGAATGATATGTTTATTACATAAGATAAATTTCTGACAGGCTTATGTGAACACCCTATTACTGCAAGTTCCCAGTGCTAGCTAAAAGAAGCTGTGTTTTTAACCAGGTTTAGCAGAAGACAGGTGCATTAGTGATGCTGTTTCATAATAAGTCTAATTAGAAATAACATGGAAATTACATCACAGAAACTGATTCTCTTGGCAATATTCTGGAGCACTATAGGGATTCCAGGAGGGATGTAGTAAGAATACATTAGACTCTTTTAAAGACACATTCATGATTTATTTTAAGTGAGGCATAAATAGACTTTTCCTAACCAAGTTTTTGAGGTCAAACAACTTAGCTGCTATGATTGCTAGTTATATAAATTATGAAATAATTAATATGTGATAGAGTAATATAATAATTATATTAATTCTAATTATTAATGTATTGGAATGACTGCATTAAGCCTTACACAGCAGAAAATGGGCACACTTAAGTCCCAATGGGAAGAATAGGAAGAGAGAAGAGTAATTAGGGTAGATTCAGGTAAGCAGGCAAAGTCGTAGAACTGAAATTTTCTAAAACTGTATGCTTTGTTTTAGGTATTCAGATGTAAATTTGTTTTCATATGCATTTTAAACAAGTTATTAAGGATAACCCTGGCTAAGACATTTTTCTTGTTGCAACCAAACTGGCTGTTGCTTAAGAAATGCTGCACAACAGACACACCAAACAGGGGCTATGGACCTACAGATGGACTTCCCTTGTTCAAGTCCATTTATTTACGTGTGAAACCATTTTTATTCTTCCATTAGACCCATCCACACAAAGAGAAAAACATTTACAATTAAACTTTGAAATATCTGTTTCCCTCCTCATTAAATCCACGCAAACTGTTTTTTCTGAAGCTTGAGGCAGAAGCCGGCAGTGATGTCTAGAGTATCTGGTGCTGCTGCAAGTAGGAGTTGAGTTAGTTCGCTGTGTTTTAATGGGTCCATTTCAGTTGCCAGAGAACATGACAGTTCTCTCCACCACCCAACAAAGGATTCACAATAGTACAGGAAAAATATCTCTGATAAAACTTTATGCATATGTCCTTGTGGTTGTGCTGCATCAAAAAATAAACTATCTTCCAATAACAAGTTGAACAAAAGTTGAGCAAGATTTGTAGATAAAATTCCAGAGTTTCAATAATCATTCAAATGCAGTTTGATTTTCTGATTCTATTCAAATACCTTGTATGCCACCATTGGAAAAAAAGTATAATTCAAAAATGTTTATCTATTAAATGTTATTTAAAAACTCTTGGCTTTGCTTAGAATTAGTAAGTGCTTAAGGGTGTTAGTTAGTATGCTCAGAAAAAGATCTATGACTGTATGGAAAGTTGATTTCAGACAGTATGGGCAACACAAATCCCAAAACAACTGGTTATCCATAGAGAAATACCTAAAACTGGATCCTGACCTCACACCATACAGAGAGGTAAATTGCATAACAAAATATAAAGGGAAAATTAGGGGTAAGACAATTGGGAGAATCCTTTTATTATCTCAGGATAGAAAATAATTTTAAACATATTTATTAAGTATAAAAATTAAGGAATAATATGTGATTATATTAAAATTAATAACTTTGGCAAGACATATAAACACTAAAAAGAAAACCACAGTGTTATGAATCTGAAAAAATAATAACAATCCAATAGAAAAATACACAAAAAGCATGATCAGACACATCATAAAAACAAAATGGAACTGGCCCATAAAATAACATGAAAAATGCTCTACTTCTATTAATAATCAAGAAAATGCCAACCTTCTGGGCAAAAATCAAAGTTTGACAATATCAAGTGTTGATGACAAAATATAGTACAACATAAACTGTTATCCACTGATGTAGTCAGAATATAAGATGGCATAATCTCTTTGTACTAAGTGAATCAATACTTGGTAAATTTGAAGATCCATATACTTTACAACCTTGTTCATCATTCATAACTATTGATCTATGGACATCAAAAAACATGAACAAAATATTCATAGTAATGTTGTTAATAGCACAAGAAAATCAAAATATAACTGTAAAATAAACCTGAAGAAACCCACATTTACATCTACAGAAGATTTAGTAAATCACATATTTATATAATGGGATAATATGGAAACAGAAAATGAACTATAGGTCTTCAAATAATAACATAGATGAATTGCATAAATCTCAAGTAAAACACTGATCAAACTAAACCAGTTGTAGAAGAATTGGTATTTATGCATGGAATGAGGTATATCTGTGTGTGAATGCAAATGTGCACACAGATTAAATTAGAAAATTTAGAAAGAAAATCATGAGCATAAAATTCACCATGATGTTTTGGAGGAGGAGGATGGGAGAGATAATGGAGAGAGATTCTAACTTACTGCTGTATTACACAGAAGGTTCAATTGTCAAATCAGACTTACAGAAATCACAGATCTTACCCCATGGTGACTTTAAATTAAAATTCAGAAAATGTAGGCAAACTTCAAGCTCAGAAAAAATTTCTTCCCCTGTATATGCCCCAAACTGTCATTTACATATCCTTAAAGTATGCTTCTGCATTAGGAGACCTTTTGGTTTTGGAAAAATAGGACTAGTATGTCCTATTTGAGCGATATATGAAGAACATTATGTGAAAAGGTACTACTTTGGGGATTCCAGTCTTTTTTTCTTCTTAAGATTTTATTTAGCCCTGGCTGGCATAGCTCAGTGGATTGAGCTCGGGCTGTGAACCAGGCATCACAGGTTCAATTCCCAGTCAGGGCACATGCCTAGGTTGCAGGCCATGGCCCCCAGCAACCGCACATTGATGTTTCTCTCTCTCTCTCTGTCCCTTCCCTCTCTAAAAATAAATAAATAAAATCTTTAAAAAAAGATTTTATTTAATGGTGGAAAGAAGGAGAAGGATCATAGAACATGTATAAAGGACCCATGGACAAAGACAACTGGGGGTGGGAGGAAGATTGAATGAAGGAGGTGGGGGAAGGGTAGGGCAGGGGAGGATAATGGGGAGAAATGGGGACAACTGTAGTTGAACAATAAAACAATTTAAAAAAGAAATAGAGCAAAAGGAAAGATTTTATTTATTTATTTTTAGACAGACGAGAAGGGAGGGAGCAAGAGAGGGAGAGAAACATGGATGTGAGAAAGAAACATTGATCAGCTGCTTCTCATACACACCCCGACTGGGGACCAAACCTGCAACCCAGGCATGTGTCCTGACTAGGAATTAAACTGGCGACTTTTCGCTTTGCAGGATGATGCCCAACCAACTGAGCCACACCAGTCAGGATTGCCTTCTTCAGTTTTATAATATATTAATCACATAGATAGGAAAATGCTTTGGTTTTGAAACTCCTTAGGTAAGAAAATGTTTATCTGACTAACCCTTGTTCTCCAACTGGTTCTGCCCCACAAGTCTATAAAATCCAGATTTATTTATAATAAACATTGCTTTGTGTATAAAATCCACTGAGTCTGTACTAAAACTTTTTGATTTTTTTTTTAATTGTTTTTGGTTAAATGTGTTGGTTGAGCACATTCATATTGTTTATTGAAGGTTTTGGAATTATAGGTTAATTTTATGTGTCCCTTTTAAATGTCTAATTCCTATTTTGAAAAAGGTACAAACTTCCAGTTATGAGATAAATAATTACTAAGGATGTATTATATAACAATGACTATAGTTAACAATGCTGTATGATATGCTTAAAAGTTGTTAAAGTAAATTCTAAGAGTTCTCATCACAATGGAAAAAATTATTTTCCTTTTTCTTTTTTTGTGTCTATACAAGATGATGGATGTTAGCTAGACTTATTATGGCCATAATTTCATGATATCTGTAATGTAAATCATTATGCTGTACACCTTACATTTATACAGTGTTGTATGTCAATTATATCTCAATAAAACTGGAAAAAATGCTAAAAAGAGGATAAGAAACATCAGAGCCTAGAAAGAAAAATAAAAAGGAAATAGACTCATCTTGCTGTTAATTCAGTCTTTCCTTCATATTTTTAACATACATACATTCTTCCTGAAACACTATGCTTACTGAGACACACATTTAAGACATAGATTTGCTATTCATTTGGCTTCATATTCCATTGAAATATATTCTCATACATTCATTATGAGCTATGACTATACTGACAATATGTGTATAATTTATATAATAACCACAAAATAAAAATTATATAGTTTTAAAAATGTAAATGACAAGGCTACATAATATCTTATAGAAAATTAATATATAGATAAGTTAAAAACATAAAAATATACATGCTTTCTTTTATTTATTTAGAACTAGAAGTTAATGATCTAAATAGCATTTTATGGCAATGATAAAAGAGAAATAGTGGTAAGATAATTTTTTTATAATCAAATGCATAGAATTTCTGATATAGGAAATTAGAAAAATAGAAGACAGGGAAAATATAGAAAACACAACTGACTTTTGGGGGCACTTACTATTAAGAGGAACTTTGATAGGTTTTCTCATTTAGTTCACACACAACATATGCACATATGCACACCCCCCCACCCCTCATGATAAACCTCTCCTGTTTTGGACAATTTGGCCAAGTAACATGGGTCCAAGCATACTAATTATTATTTTTAAGGCTCCATAGCTGTTTCCTTCTTATAGCATTGTGGGTCATAAAGTACTTTGTGGTTTAAATGAAAATAATAAATATACAGGCCAGGGTGACAGAGGCTATCTCTATGTATTTAACCTTTTCTACTCTGAAATGTCTTCAGAATTAAAGATGCAAGTGTCCATTATTGTTGTCTTTTCATATTTAGAATTACTCATTATACATACAAAGAATAATTATGGAAATTACAACTTTGAAGGGAAGTTTTTATTCTTACTCTTTGAGCTGCATATTTTTTCATGTTATATTTTTGACTAGTTAGGTTTTTCCTCACATTTATCATATAAGCAGAAAGTGGTTTATTCTATAGATGGCCCACTTTTTATGTCTGTTGGTACATTTCAATAACATCTTTTTAAAGAACATTTTAAAATGCACTTAAATTTCCCCATGGCCTGCTTAAATCTTCCATTTTGAATTTCAAATAGATTTTTATTAAATCACAAATGTACAGTTATGTAATATATCCTTATATCTAATTTTGAATTAATGAGCTTAACTTGTAGTATAGTATACCTTAGTCATTGACATTTTTTAACAGCCAGAAGAAGAGATTGAAATAGTTTTGTTGAATTGCCTCATTGTGCGGATGAGGAAACCGAGGTTCAGAAAGTTAATGATATATCAATGTTTGTCGAAAATTGGTCTGTACATTAAACTTTTGAAATTCAGATTTCTAAAACCCACTGCATCAGAACCTCAGAAACCTTTATTTTAAATATACACTCCCTCCACCGCCCCCCTCACCCTTGGCCAAACACACACCGAAGTTTGAGAATCACAGTGCTAGGGTGTTTCCATACACATCTGTAAAAGCCTCATCAACATGCAAATGAGCATCTCTGTGATACAGCTTAGTGATAAGATTGTTAAAAACTGCATTTTTATGGGTTTGAAACACTGTGTGGATGAGTAGTCAAATAGATCAGTGAAGAATAATAATTGAATTCCTTCCACCTTTTCACAGACCTTCTTGATACTTACAAAAATTCTGGTCTTTGATATTCAATTTGTAAAATCAAAACCTTGAAGCATGATATTTTTAAATGTATTTAAGTAGCTCGCATTGTCTCAAGAATTAGTTTTTCTACTTCATTTTCCAGGCATATGTATTGTAGGTATTGAACTTTTCTGGGTGACATGTAGCCAGCATTATGAATATTGGTAGACCGAAGTGGATAGTGCATTAACACAAAGGTGAAACTCCCTGCGTTCCTTGCCTTCTGCAGACTGTTTCTCAACTCACAAGTCCTGTATGGGCCAAGATATCTTCTTAGTAAGGAAGATTTTCTGTTCATACAATTTATAATTCTTTATTAAGTGCTTATTAGAAATTGTAGAGAATGCCAAATAAATATCCATTTATTTGAAGGGTATATATTTATTATGATTTTAAAAGACATATATGTTATTTCTGTATATTTTAAATAAGAAACACTGGTGAATGAAGCATGGGGATTGTGAGGACATGAAGAATATATTCAGTTAGAGACCTGCAGGAATATTTCATGAAAATGTGACTGGTGTTTTAATGAAGGCTGGATTTTTCTTAAAGAAGGAGATAGATATGTCCTAGAGGAAACAAGATGTGCATGTAGAGTTATGTAGAGAGATGTTCAATGCAGCAAAAAAACACAAAAAACATGCAAATAACATAAATGTCCACATACAAGGAAATGGATAAATAAGGGAATGTACAGAGTACAAGAAGGCAGTGGATGAACTATACTTATATCTAATAGCATGGAATAAATAATTAAAAGAACGTTAGAAAAAAGTAAGTCACAGAATGATACATACCATGTTATGCTATTCATATATTTTTAAAATACATGTGCATAAAACCATAAAAAAGGATTGGAGAAATGTTCACTAAGTTTATTATAATAGTTGTCTCATAGGAGGTAGGAAATGGGAATCAGGATGAGGATTAAATGAAATTCAAATTTCTAAATAATTCACTATTATTTAAAAACAACTTGAAAGTGTCAAAAATATTTGGAGGTCATTTCTTTGGCCCTGTTAGTGATAATATACTCGTTTTCCCCATAAAAAATGAATTTAAAAAAGAGATATAATCAACATTATCAATTAGTGTTGATTTGATCATCCAGGGTATTCAGTGGATATAGACTTTCATTGTTTCTATTTGTAGGTAAATGTCACTCGTGAAGACTCACCAAGTGAAGATCCAATCTTTCTTAGAACTTTGGGAAAAGGAGATTGGTTTGGAGAGAAAGCCTTGCAGGGGTAAGTAGATCAAATATTAGACAGTTTTGGGTTAAATACTACATAAATTCCTGTCTTAAAGGTATTCCTGTCTTAACAATACAAGGCTCTTCAGTGCTGATCCTAATAACAGATATGAACTCCTGACCATTTTTATTTATTTCTGGCTGGAATTGTACTTTGTTTAGATAGGTTCTAGGATTGATGGATGGTTAACTTCTGTAATAAGTAACTTTTATATTAATAGGAAAATTTCCCAGCTTTATGTTTCTTAACTGCAATCTCTATAAAGACTCTAAAAGAGAGGGAAAGTCTCTGCTAAATTGACTTTGTACAACAGTTTTGCTCAGAATCACAGAAAGATGGTTGAGAATTTTGGAATCCCCTAAACCCGATTGTACAAGCAATAGATCTGAAGGTAGTGAGGGCTTTCTGGGATTCACCTCTGGCTGATTGTTGTCACTGCTGGTTATGGTAATGCAGGTGGAGGGGGAGGTGGGCATGGGGATAATTTATGCATACCCAGATTCACTCTGCATGGGCTTTAAAGGATGGACTCAGATGGTGTACTGCAAGTTCACTGAAACTCCACTTGGAATGTAAGACCTCAAGAAGTAAGCGTTTGGGATTTTTTTTCCCCCATATACAATGGAAGAAAAACTTAACTGACTGTATAACTCAATAAACAGAACTCATGATTAGCATGACAGATATATTTGAGAGTTCTATTCTTATTTTCCAACAAACACCACATCCCAAAGATCAGTGTGTACAGATGCAGAGTTCAGTGCTGTACATATAATAAGCAACCTGAATAAGAAACAACCAATAAGCACTTACTTTTGCATCACATTCCAGGTACAGAAGTATCTACTAGAAAGGAACAATAATAGCATATAACATATTCCTAAAATGTTTGGAATGGTTTTGCTTCCATTTCAAATTGTGCCTTTATTTTAAAAATTGTATTATAAGCACTTAAAAGTACTGTTCAAGAAATAGTTTGAGGTTTTAAATTTTATTTTCCAATTACAGTTCACATTCAATATTATTTTTTAAGATTTTATTTATTTATTTTTAGAGAGGGGTAGGGAGGAAGAAAGAGAAGGAGAGATATATTGATTGGTTGCCTCTCACACGCCCCCTGACCAGGGATAGAACCTGCAACCCAGGCATGTGCCCTGACTTGGATCTCATCCAGTGATCTTTTCACTTTGCAAGGCAATTCTCAACCATCTGAGCCACATCTGTCAGGGTTCAGTATTATTTTGTATTACTTTCAGGTGTGCAGCACAGTGGTTAGATAATCATATACAAAGTGATCTCTCCAATATTTCAAGTACCCACCTGGCATTGCACATAGTTGTTATTATTATATTTTGACTATATTCCCTATGCTGTACTTTACATCCCTGTGACAATTTTGTAAGTACCAAGTTTGACTTAATCCCTTCACTTTAAGGAGTTTTTATTTTTTAAGCCACAATTAGTTGCCAGGTCTTATTTTCTTCTTCATTAGTATTCCACAGCTACAGAAATGAAGCAGTCATTTTGATGTCAACTTACTCAGGCCATGTCATCTTATGAAAATTTAGAACTAAATGCATTTGACATTGTTTTTTCTTTTACTGAGTTTGTTTGATCCTATTTGATGAAGATGCACAAAAGAATGCAGTAAACATCGTCTTCCTAGTATAAAATGCACAAACATATCATTTGTAGCTTAATCTTTCTTTCCCTTGATTATTATACATGCAGAAGATTCTAGAGAATAATGCCACCTGATTTCATTGGTCCAAGACTAAATGCCTCCATGGAAATTGTGATTTCCTGCAGAGCCAAAGAAACAGGAATATTTTCAATCATTTCTGATGAGATCACAAGTGGAACACCAAAAAATAAAACATAATTGAGAGTTGACAGATTTTCTTTTGCAGCTACTGTCACTGAATAATGGTGCCAATTAAAGAAAGCTTTTATTGTGAAAACACCTTCCTACAATGTGTCTTAAGCAGTAAACTTGAGGATATGATTTATAAAAAAACGTATCAAATTTTGCTATGATGTCAAAATGTAAGTTAATAGTATTCCATCTAGAGTGAATTCATTCTGGCCTATGCTGATCCTTGTGAACTACTTGTGGTTAAAACTCTCTTTGAACATACTCAGCCCTCTTTACTGGCCACTCTTTCACCGCACTGACACCCTTACCCTGAACACCCAGTCCAAGCCTACCTCCGTCTCTTTTTTTCTTACGCTCTTCAATATTATTTTGTCACTACTCAATCTGGCTTTATCAGTCTACTCTAAGTGAACTAAATGTCACCAGGGATTTGCTGCTTACATTAAAAAACTGTCTTTCTTTCATCTTCACTTGACTTCACTCATCAGACACAGTTTTACACTGTTGAGCATCCCTTCCTTCTTTAAATTCCCCATGCCCTGAGATCCCTGTAATTGTTAACAATCTTTACAATTTCTCATTTCACTTCCTAAATTCACTAGTGTTCGGTCCTCAACTCTCCATTACATACATCTTGGTATACATCCAGGTCTATGACTGCATATTCCTTTTGATGAAAGGAAGTTCCAAATATTTCTATTTTCTTCTAAGCTCAGCATCTGGCACTTTTCGGATACTCAACATGTTTATGTTGAATGAACGAATGAATGAATGAACAAACGAGCCTCTTTAATGATGCTCAATCTTGCAGTCCCTTCTGCCATTGATCACTTTCACTACTTGTGTTTGCTTTAAGGAACAGGTGGCAAACACAAGGCCCACAGGCCAAATCCAGCCCTCCACCTTGTTTTATCCAGCCCAGCACCTTGTTTCTACCCTGCGGCAGTGCCCAGCTCCTTGCCCCTAGTTAAGGAGTAGTTACATTTATACAGCCCTAAAATTATATTCTGCGCTTTGAGACAACTGCGAAGCTGATATGGACCCTGGTAAAAATGAGTTTGACACCCCTGCTTTAAGGTGAATAAGGGGTTATGAACTCACTTGACTATAGGGGTCAGGCTGGCAATGTAAATGAGTAAAAATAAGGTGAGTAAAACTGGGAGCAAACTAGAAAGCCTTTTGTGATAAGAATAGCAATTACTGTCTTCCAGGCCATTGCTATGCTTTTTTTTTTAAGATTTTATTTATTTTTAGAGAGGTAAGGGAGGGAGATAGAGAGAGAGAGAGAAATATCAATGTGCAGTTGCTGGGGGTTATGGCCTGCAACCCAGGCATGTACCCTGGTTGGGAATCGAACCTGTGACACTTTGGTCCACAGCCTGCGCTCAATCCACTGAGCTACGCCAGCCAGGGCTTGCTATGCTTTTTTTTTTTTAAGGGAAGGCAGAAAAAACCTAGGTATTTAAAAAATATATGAAATGTTATTTTGTAACTTGATTTTTTAAAAAAAGAAGCTCTGCAAGCAAACAAAACATTTCTGCAAATGATTTGACCTCTGAGCTGCCATTTTTTGGTTTCTGTCAATCAGATATTCCTCTTTAAATCTCTATAGTTATATTCAGTTAAAGGAAGCCTATTAGGTCAACCCTTCTTGATTATTTCCTTGTTTGTTTGACATTGTAGTGTTTTGATGTTATATATCCATGTTCTGTTTTTCACTCTGTATTTCCAGTCCTCCTCTTCTGATCTTTTCTTTGAATTTTAATGTTTCATGTAAGAAATTTATACTTTTCACATATCAGATTGATTTGTTTCACTTTTTCCCCTCTAAATATCTTTAAATTTTTGTAACTTCAGGATATAGTCTTTTGGGAAATTTAATATATTCTTTTGTGTAATAGCTATGCTTTCTTGCAACCCAAATGATATTCATACTTAAAAGAGAAATTTTATAGTTTATACTCTCTGTATGCATATAATATAGCATTTCAGATTGTTGTTTTCTCACAAATAAAATTTATATGTAGTGGGCATTTTTCTATTTTTATGAGAATGTTCAGTGGGTTCATTAAAATGTTGGTAAATTAGTAATACTGAAATAAATTCTTGAACATCCTTTAAAATTTTTTTAAATTAAATTTGTTGGGGTAACATTGGTTAACAACATTATATAAATTTCAGGTGTACCACTTTATAATATGACTTCTATATACTCTAGTCTGTGCTCATCATCCGAAGTCTAGTCTTCTTCAGTCAACATGTACTTGACCCCATTTACTCTCCTCATCCTCCCTACTCCCTTTTCCTCTGGTAACTACCATTCTGTTGTCTGTATGTATGAATTTGTATCTTTTCTTTGTTTGCTTGTTGCTTTTTCCTTTCTATTCCACACTGACTGAAGTTATATGGTTCTTGTACATTTCTGTCTGATTTATTTTGCTTAGCACGATATTCTCAAGATCCATCCACCTTATCACAAATGTTGCAAATTTTATCTTTTTTTGGAGGGTGGGGGGCCAAGTGGTATTCCATTGCGTATATACACTGCATCTTCTCTATCCATTTGTCTGTCAAAGGGTACTGAGGACACAAAGGGCATAAGACAGATTTTTATGTGTTGGTTATGGTAAATAATGCTGCAGACAACATAGGGGTACGGATATCATTATGAATAAGTATTATCAACAATTTGGCTACTCAGAGGGGGCATTGCTGGGTTGTATGGTAGCTCAGCTCTTAACTTTTTGAGAAACTTCCATACTGTCTTCCATAGTGACTGCATCAGCTTACATTCCTGCCAACAGTGCGCAAGGGCTCTCTTTTCTCCACATCCTCTCCAACACCTGTTATTCTTACCTTATTGATAACAGCCATTCTCACAGCTGTGGGGCAGTATCTTGTGTTTTTGATTTACGTTTTTCCTATAACTAGTAATGTTGAGCGTTTAAGAAAATACATCTGTTGCCCTTCAGCATGTCTTCTTTGGAAAGTGTCTATTTGGGTTTTCTGCCCATTTTTTTAATTGGATTCTTTCTTTTTTTGTTTGTTGCATTGTGTAAATTTTCTATGTATTTAGGAAATTAGCCCTTTGTTTGCAAATATCTTCTATTTAATTTGT